AGAGAGAGAGAGAGAGAGAGAGAGAGAGAGAGAGAGAGAGAAAGAGAGAGAGAGAGTGGGAGAATGCACCGTTAGTAGCATATGGATTTTTTTGGGCCTCTTACTTAACGGGTATCCGGTAGGGGGATATTAAAAATTTGAAACCGGTACCGGTTGGGGCATACGGAACATATTTCAGGCCCAGACGAACCCCGGGGGTTTTGAAAGCTTGAAAAGTTGCAGAGCGGCACGACAGACTAAGTTGTGTGTATGTTTAAATCGGAATGGGATTCAAAATGAATCATACATGCTAGCAATCGAGCAACGATCCAAAGAGAGAGAAACAAGGAAGACGAGAAGAAGATGAGGGGGAGGAAGAGGGAGGAAAAGGAGGGAGGGAAAAGAAGGAAGAAAGAAAAAGGAAAGAGTGAAAGCTCGAAAAGAACCACGGTAAACTCGAAAAAAAAACGAATGCGACTTGACAAGATCAAAAATACACCGATAATGTCTACTTCTGGTATAAAAAACGGTGCTAGTACCCTTCTGGTTTGAACTGGCCGTCGTGCAAGTCTCATCAGGGATCTTCTATCGGTGTTACCGTTATAACACACTATATACCATTTCGTCAGACCATAGACTCAGGACAAATGTTTTTTTTAACTTTTTTTTTCCCTCCTGCCGTCAAAAAATACCAGAAGACGATTGAAAACATGAGAAGTCAGTCACGCCGCCGATCAAAGATTCAATTCCTAACACTATCGAATAGAACAAGGTTACTATAGGTTGGAAAGTAAAAAACATGAGAATCACGTGCATCTAAGATCCAATGTTCAAAACCTATCATTATCAAACAAAAGAATGTTACTATAGGCCTTACAGTAAGAACCGTTATTGCAGGAGCAAGGGATCGAGTCTCAGTAAAGCTACCGACTACAATCTTAAGAAGTACAACCATGATTCCAAGGTCCATTAAAAAATGGCCGGCAGTCTCGGATTGCTCGAATTCGTCACGTAAGTTCAGACAATGCTACCGACACTGCCAAACAATCAAGGCCCTAGCATCGGGCCAGAAACACCAACGAAGATCTTATTGTATAGACCAACACGACCTAAGAACAGACCCGCTAAAGTCTGCTACAAACAACAACATGTTTCTTGTCTCATTTGGTCAACAAAGGCAGTCAATCATCCCAACAGTCAGTCATCTTCGTCTATAAATTCGCAGGTCAGGAGTCAAAATAATTCTTTAATTGCCATTTTGTCAAAATTAACATTTTTTATTTTTTGAACGAAATTGAACAAAGTTTTTTGGTGGAAAATAGGTCCAGATTTTTTGCTCCTGACCGTCCGGCTCATCAGGGGAAGAAATACCCTTAGTTAACATTCCGAAGGGAATTAAATACACAGGAGTTTTCCCTGTGTAACAAACAAAAAAAGGGGGGGGAAAGGGAAGAGAGGGAGAGAGAGAGGGAGGGGAAGGGGGAGGGGGGTGGGGGGTGGGGGAAGTGCTTCTTGAGGTCGAGCTCATATTACCGTCGAACGCGAGGATGACGATCCGGAAACTCCACTCATGTCGCAAAGTCCGTATCCCACTGAGCTAGAAGACGTGCAGATTTGTCACCAAAATATCTAGACGCTCCCTTTCGATATTAGCAGCGGCAGGAGGGCAGTATTGACGCGGGCGAAGGATAGATGAAGAGGAATGAAGAGGACGATGAGGGAGAGAGAGGGAGAGATTGAAGATGAAAAATGGGAGTGAGAGGAGGAGAGGGAGAGAGAAAGAGAGAGAGAGAGAGAGAGAGAGAGAGAGAGAGAGAGAGAGAGAGAGAGGGAGATCGCGCATACGGAGGACAGTGGTAGTAAAGAAAAGAAAGAATGGCGAGGCAGGTGCTGTGCTCCTTTCTCCGAGTGGGCAGAGGCTGCTATGCTTCGCGCCGAGGCAAGCGTAAGTCGAGAGCTGGCGAGAATAGCATAGCACAGAACATGAGCTCTGAAAAGACAATCATGAGCGAGGTGTGGGCGAGAATCGCAAGTGGTAGAACTACCCCTTGAGACTCGCCTTACACCTTGAGTTGAAGAGCTGTAGGTCCTATTGGTTCAAGTGTTAAATAGTGGGTTCGTCAATATTTTTTTCGTTGAATACCCGTGAAAAAAAACAAAGGACTCTTTTCAAAATATGGCTACTATCCGCGCGCTTTTTTGTGAAGCGTAACCTAGGTTGTGTTTTGGCGGTATGCTTTATTATTCTATTTATTTTTATGTGGCATTATGTCCACATGGTAGTCTCTGTCTTTTACGGTAGGAACCACCCAGATTCATTTCTGCGAGGGATGGGATTCTTGGAGTGGTCCTGGTATCTACCGTAGGACTCAAATGAATAATAATGGTACTGTTTTTTTTTTCAAAAAATGAAAAGAAGAAGGAACTTATAACCAATTTTTTCATCACAGGATGGTAGCAATATATGAACTGAGATCAAACATACAATCATTACCCGAGATGATTCATACTTTGCCCTTTTATCCAATCAGGCGGGCGTGTGTGAGCTCCCTTTACCTCATTTTTGGGGGGGGGCATTTCTTCCGAGCTTATGCCATCAAAGAAATAGTCCCTCAATTTTATTAAATTTTTTAATTTATATTTATTTGATTGTGTGTGTGTGTGTGTGTATGTGTG